ACACATTACAAATGCACACACTCAGCCCAGGAGCTTGCACTCTAGGCGGTAGATTGGTGCCCTAGGATCTCAGCTTGTTTTGTTTTTCCGTGTCTGTAGTAAGAAGATCAGAAGCCATAAGTAACAGGATGCAAGCTGCCACCAGTGACCACTGCTAGGTTACCTTTCCTCTTCTTGGGGTCACTCCCTGACAGGCATGTGAAGAGAACCCCTTTCCACGAGTAGAGCACGCTGTGGGTGGCTTTGCCAGTCACACCCCCCTTACCCAAAGGATCCTGTGCTGGACCTCCACATAGGATCCTGCCCCTGCCCTGAATGTCACAAAGAATCCAGTCCCTGTGCTGTGCCCCACAAAAGGATCATGTGCTTGCCCCCACCCCCCACAGAGGACCCTGTTCTGGACTCCACACATGATCCTGTCCCTGCGCAGCACAGCCAGATGGTCCAACCAGACACGCTTAAAGGGTTAGTTCACCTTTTAAACTATGCAATTTATTATAAATGCCATACCTGTAGGCCGTTTGGCCCCCACCAGAAGCCTGGCCAAAAAAGTGACACTGTCCTTATCTCCCAATTCTACTCCTGCATTGTCACCCTGTAACACAGGATTTCGCTAGGGACTACAAGCACCCAATTGCAACATACATTTACAAGGTATGGCCCACCGTTTTTACCATCAGGGCCCATTCACACTAGGCAATTACGGTAGCATGCACTTTACCACAAAAAGCAGCCAAGGGCAATTACAAGCATTGGTACACCCCAACGCACCAAGCGGACAGATACTGCAGTGCACTGCCAAAACTGCCAAAAAGTGAATGCACCAATTTTAGTAGCGCAAGGCATCACACGCTCCATAGGTCCACCCTCCGACCTCCTGGGTCACTGCTGAGACCTTACAGGGCTGGGAAAACGGGAGATTTTTTAAACTAGTTTACCAAATAAGTTGTTACTGTCCAGCATGCAGGAAATCCACAGCAATGCAACAATAGGCAGCTGTCCCTTTGTTCAACACCCTAGGAGCTCTGCCGCCCCAGACACACACTGCTCCGTATGAGGCGCTCTGCCGCCCCAGACACACACTGCTCCATATGAGGCGCTCTGCCGCCCCAGACACACACTGCTCCATATGAGGCGCTCTGCCGCCCCAGACGCACACTGCTCCATATGAGGCGCTCTGACGCCCCAGACGCACACTGTATGAGGTGCCCCAGGCCAATAATGTGCAATTTCTAGGTAAACACTACAAAGTCATTAGGAGAAGCAGTGCTATTAGGCAAGCAGCATCAGTCCCCACCATCACCATGTCAGCTGCCTAGTAGCAGGCACAGTTCACGATCAAGTGGATGGCTGCACTGGTCAGCAGGATTACATTTTTAGTATATTTAGGATATCCATATGTCAGTCTTTGAGGAAGTCACGGTTTTCCTGACTGAGACAATGGCAAGCCGACAGCTGAGATCCCTGACGCTTAAGGCTCCATCGTGGCCGTTTGTTGTCTAGGAGGGCCACACTGTGCATACAAATGAAAACACAATATAGATTCTTAGCGGGAATGTTTAAAGCAGACATTGAGTTGCTATTAGTTTTTATTAGATTTATAGACAAATGGGACATGTTGCCAAATTTGACTTTGAAACAAGTACATATTTAGATAAAATAGTGGCGGAAACTGAAGTAGTAAATAGTAACCGGTCCAAACCCAGTCATCATTTTCATTAGCAGGCTTTAAAATGAAAAACAAGCTCCCCAGTGGTTTTGAGTGGTCAAAAAATCCACCTTACCTTTTCTAAGCTCATTACAAATGCATGCAAACGCACCTGAAGGCAAATTTTAAGCTAAAGAAAAAACGCAACAGAGCGCTACAAAAACGCACTGCATTTGCAGATCTGGTTTAGACCTGGGGTGAACAAGCCCTAAGGGCTAGTTCACACCAAGCGCAGAGCAGGTGCAGAGCAGACCGGATCAAAACTGCGTCCAATGTATTCCAATGGTATTTTTTGCTCCAGTTCACATCGCAGCGTGCAGTTGCAGAGCAGGTGAAAAAACTGCAGCAGGCTCTATTTTACCTGCTCTGGAACGCATCAAAAAAGCATGCAAATGCATGGAACGCACTGAAAGATCATTTTAAACGTTAAAAAAAAAATTTTTTTTAACCAAAAAGAGCGCGCAACGCATCAAAAGCGCGTCAAAAACGCAGCAAAAAAGGCGTTAAAAAAAGACTAGCGCGCGTGTGCAGAAACCTGACCGGATCTGCTCTGCATTTGGTGTGAACAAGGCCTTAAAGGCCCATAATGAACATTCATTATTTTATTTTTTTGTTACTTCTGATAACAGTTGGGGAAAGGTAGAAAAAAAAAAAAAAGTGTCACTTTTTGATCAAATTAAACCAACCATCGCTAGAATTTTATTTGAAATGCTCCATTCAAAATGCAGTGACTCGGATTTCTACTTCCTTGAAGAAACACAGAAATACAGTGCCCGAGGAATGAAACGGCACCAAGCAGCGGGGAAAACAGGCGTCCAACACACCTAGAAGTGGGTCAAATGCAAAAGATTCTTCAAGCACTGTAGCTCCTTAGACCCCATTCACACTTGGCATGCACTTGAGGCACGCATAAAAGCACGTCACGTTTGCCGCACATCAGCCTATTCATTTCAATGGGCTGCCACACGTACCACAAATGTGGCAAAGAAGCTCATGCAACATTTTCAGCTGTGAGCGCTACGCGTTTGGTGCATGTCATTGTGTGGGGAAAAACCTGCGTTTTGCCAGCTGCGTTTGGGGTGAATGGCACCGTGATCCAATCAAGTTTACGTGCCAGTGCACACGCTCTAGTATGCCATCGCGCAATGAACAAGTGTGAACAGGGAAAAAAAAGTGTGAAGAGTGGAGGCACAACCTGAATGATGGTAAATATTCTTTATATTCTTTTGCAGGGGGCTTAAAAAAACAAACGAAAAATGAATCTGCCTTCAAGCCAGAACATTCACCACAATTATATTCCAGCTATTCGAAAAACCCCCCACACAGAGACCTCTTTAAAACAAATCATATTGACTGCCCTATTGGATGACAACAACCACAAGACTAAGGGCCCGTTCACACTATCCAGTTAGAACTTACTGGATCGCATTCGCGAACCCTTTCCCTGTGTTCTGGGCGCAGGAGGGGGCATGGTGGTGCCATTCATTTCAAATGGCACCGCAAGCAAGCCTCCCACCCACAGTATAATCGCCCGCAGTGGAGCATGTGATACCGCAATGCCCTGTGTTCCAATGCGGGCTGGAGGCGTGTCTGTAGTGCCATTGAACCCTGAAAGTGTTTGCGTATGCGATCCAGTGCGTTCATGGCATATAACCGTGTTCTGAACGCATTGGATAGTGTGAACAAGCGCTCACTGCATTAGCCGCAGATGGGAGACAGATCTACAGGTACTTCTTTAATTTTGACATTAAGTCAAGCTGAGCGTGCATATTCATGACAGTGAAGGGTTGATAACAGGACACTAGTCCCATGACTGCCTTAAAATGACACTAAACTCAGGAGTTAAATCTTAAAATTGCATTTGAGTAACCCAACGATTAACAATACTGGACCTTATTTGTGTATCAGATCAGCTGTAGATCCTCAAATCCTCTCCGACACTGTCCTTCCTTCTGGAGGGGGGCTGCTTTTGTTCCCCATGGGCCCTGTTTGTGTTGTAAAGTAGTCACCGCGGCAAGCCTGCTCCCGCGATAGGCCATAAGTTCTCAGTAAACTAAACATGAGATTGCAGTCCATCCCGGGAGCGAGCTTGGATCGGTGACTACTTTACAACAGACACGGGGACCATGGGGAACAAAAGTAGCCCCCCTCCAGAAGGAAGGACAGTGTCAGCACCAATTCAGAGATGATTGGAGGATCTACAGCCGAGTGATAGACACATAAGGTCCAGTATTGTTGATAGTAAGGGTACTAGAATGCAATTATAAGATTTAACTCCTGAGTTTAGTGTCACTTTAAAGTGAATTTTTCCATTCCACAATAATGTAAATATAGTGATATAGTGGTACCTTCACAATAGATCCATTACCTGTTGCAAAGTACTTCCACAGGCCCAAAATCCACAGCCTAAGTAGTCTATACACCAATATATATTTCAAAAGTCTAAATCCAAGTCTTCATCTCCATATCTCACCACAACCTACTCATCACTGAAATACAGGCAGTGAAACATGACTGCCACAAGATGGGCAGATGCATCTCATTTGCTTGCTTTGATTGACAACCTAGCTTGAACTTCATGTCAAGCGAGAAGAAAGATGGTGGTGCCCAATGGGGTTATAATTAGGTCTCAGGTGACACAGTAATCAGTTTTTGTTGACTGATTTTGTGCCTGCGGGTTGTTTATTAGCTGACTAGCTCAAACTTGGCAGTTAATTATTGTAACCATTGGCAAGGAAACGGGTTGATTTTAAGCGAACTTGTACTTTGCTTATTCTAGCCAAAGCAAGGGTGCGTCCACACCATCTGGTGTCCATTGGGTTCAGCAGGTGGGGGCGGTGTCTTGCTTTATTACACTACAAGGCACTGTTTACCTTTTCTTTTGAAAAACTTTATTGAAATGTCACAAAATGGCATCCATTTCTATGCAGTACTGGCAGTGATTTCAGGTGAGCTGCAGAACAATGCAGCAGGTCTGCAACACACTGCAACCCCCACCTCAAGGCAGTACTGTGGTGTGAACAGGGCACTTAGAAAGTAATTGTCTTCTGTATGTCCTGGCAATAAGCCTGCAATGATCTGTGCAGATCAATGCAGCTCAAGTGAACAAGCCTTAAAAAGTGTGCATTACAGCAGCCACAATTAGCAGTACTTAAACTTTCCAGATCGCCACATACACCACCTTAACTATATCATGAAAGCTGAAACTGTCTTGTGTCAGCCCTTGTGAGATTGTAGTTGGCTAACCAGTTGTGTGTTCACAGGAGAGTCCCTTAAAGTGACACTACACTCAGGAGGTAAATCTTAAAAATGCATTTGAGTACCTTAACTATTAACAATATGGACCTTATTTGTGTATCACTGGGCTGTAGATTCTCATATCATCCCTGAATTGGTGCCGACACTGTCCTTCCTTCTTGAGGGTGACTACTTCTGTTCCCCATGGTCTGTGTGTGTTGTAAAGTAGTCACCCCTCCAAACTCTCTCCCGGGATGGACTACAATCACAATACAAATTAGTTAACTAAACATGACATTGTAGTCC